TTCTTTGGCCGAACCTCGAAGGCAGCTATGAACAGGGACGACAACATATGCGATGTTCTTTGGCCGAACCTCGAAGGCAGCTATGAACAGGGACGACAACATATGCGATGTTCTTTGGCCGAACCTCGAAGGCAGCTATGAACAGGGACGACAACATAAGCGATGTTCTCGTCGAACCAGTTGTCGAAAAAAACTCTAGCGTTTTTTTCAACAACTGGTTCGGTTCAATTTAAGTCTAATGCTCTCGCGCCCTGCTACAAGGACCAAGCGCTCCCGGATCTGTCTGTCTGTCTAGTATCGTTCTTAGCTGAGACGATGTTATGGCTGAGTACGCGGTGGATTTATGCTTCTGCTATTACTGTTACCGGTAATAGCTAATGTTGTCTTCCTTTGCTTGACCTTGTGACGTAGAAACTACGACATCTGCACGACTAGGAAAGCCCTTGTGTGTATTGTGTCATTTTGATGTGTACGGCAAGTGCGCAAAACGCATTAACTTTGCTTCGTAATGATCACCGCTCGTACCGGGAAAACCCCTGCATTTACTTACATATATATATGTATATGTATATATGTATGCATATATATATATGTATATACTTATATATAAGTATATTTGATCATAGTTCTTTAACAAGTTTTATAGATATATTCGGTATGGTTGATGATACCTCGCACTGTGAATGGGTTTAATAAAATGACTGGCTTGAAGTCGATAACCAACACGCTAGGAACAAATCAAGTTGCACTCAAGTTAGAACTAATTTAAGAAATATGTTCATCAAAGCATTGATTTAAGTTCTTAGATAGCTAGAAAAGTACTACAGCTCTTTCAAAGCTACTAAAAGCTAGGAACTTAAAAGCTACTAAAGTGTCCTATCGAGATAATTTTCAAACCAAAGCTTAAATGTTAGCACTTAATTCTAAATTTAAACTTATTTTTATAATTAAGCGTACGTAAATCAGGTAGGTTGGATGTTTTACCGATGTTTTTGCAGAAACCGTTCTTCTGTGTATAGAAATAATCGCAATCTAGCCAAATAGGAGACGAGTAGTTAGTAGAAAAACCACACCGTTACTACTGCTAATATCTTATATTAGTAATATATCCTTGATTCGTTATTTTAGAGTTTGCACCAATTGAAACATGTGAGACATAAGGCACGACGTGCGATCTGGTTTGTGATAAAATAAATTGTCTAGGAAAGAATGGCTCATATATAACAACAGTCTGTTGCATTCGATCAGGTTTCTCAGCACTGATTCTTAAGCTACAAGCATTGCTTCTGCTTAGTATAAAACGGTTCACCATTAAGCTAGCATGGGCATCAAGTCATTGGACCTACTGCGGCGATTTTTGCGTATTCAAATACCCGCCAAGCATTGCTTGAATAATCCCAACGCTAGGTCGAGTTGTGTGGATTTTATCGCATATTACCGTAAAATTCGTCATTTAATGTGCCCATATTAACTAAGGACCGCTGCACCTTCTTCGGAGCGCTGTTTTTGTTGCAATCTCGTACGGTTCATGGTGAACGCCTACCGGACATCTCGTATTTATTGACTTTGACTTAACGCTGCCATGGTGGCAAACGAGGCCCCGTCAATCACGGCGGCAGCCAGCGCGTCATTTCTCGCTGACAATAACAACTTTGTTGCAACTGCGGGTACTGGCATTGCCCTTCCCACAGCCGGCGCTAGTCCTACTCGTAGCATTATAGTAGTAGCAGTGTTAACCATCCGCCTATCTAACGAACCCTGGTTATACTGTTTGTTGCTTCATAGCGATCCTGTCACATTGTGATGATGCTAATAATGGCCATGATGCAGTTGCCGTTGCGGTTTTAGCCCCTTCCACAAACTATGATTTCGATCGGCCTGCCATTGTGATACTGCACTGGAAGTGACTGGTCATGCTGATAGCAGCGGTTAATGCGCAGCGAAGATAATGTGTATTTACCGCGACTGAAACATTAGGCCGTCAGAAGGTTCGTATTCTTAAACTGATGCAAAAGGAAACTACTATTTACGACTAGCTGACAAGTATCACTGACATTGAGGCTTCCGGAAAAATTCAAGATGCGCTTGTCGTAATCAAACTTGTTGTGCTCGTGTCAGTTGTTACCTGTTCATTCTTTTTTCAAAGACTGCTAATTTGTATCGGAAGTGTGAGTGCTAAGCGAGGAAGACAACGCTTGCTGATGCTATTGCGCGCGGATACGATTTACATAAGCCTAAGTTTTAAACAGGGCTATTGGTTAGCTGTCTAACAGTTTGACTTGAAGGACACGCTGACATCTAATGCGTCTAGCGAAAGGAATCATCCAAGAAAGTCAGTTGGAAAAAGCGATCTCGACTTGTTGGCGGGCCAGCTTTTTGTGAACGGACTCTAACAAGCTCATTACTTCTTCGAGAAAGGTGTTTATTCCCCACGCAGTTATCTAATATTGATGACCAGGTATGGGATGGATGAAGACCTAGAAGAATAGTTGGCCAACTATGTCACTATCCTGTATACTGTCATAACAGATGAGTATCCCTGTGGATGCTTTTCTTGATAACTTTATCAAGAACACAACTAACATTGTAACTAACATTGTCAGACAGTGCTTAAGTCGATATAACTTATTTAGGATTTCAATTAGGAATTTAACTCTAACTATTTGTGAGTCACAAACATGTAAAATTTGGTCTTAAAATACATACAGTTAATTAGCTCTTTACTAAGCAAATCTTTACATTTTTTTGCGTGAAACCGCATTAGCGTTTTCCAATGCTAACAACAGCGTGATGACGACGACGACGATATATTGCTAATGGTTGAACTCTCAACCGTTCAGTTATCGCGCAGTACTTGCTTCTATAAGCTGGTGGTGCTATACCGCATAATAGCAGCGTATGCTGTAGAGGAGGAAAAGATGGTGTGTTGAGTCGGCTTCTATTCGTTTGCCTCCCTATCACCGGTCTCAGTGCATCGTTACCCCAAACCTTGGGCGGCCTGCTATGACTACAATGAAAACTGGGTAACCCGGTCAAAGTGGAAATACTTTTAGTTTTTGGCTCTCAGTTTCTGCGATGCAGCATAAATGCTGTCAAAAGTTGGCCTGCTGTAATGAGTGAAAACATAACGTGCCTTTCATATTCTAGAAATATAGAGCTTTATTTCATTTGAGTAACTTCGATTTTGTCGTAACTTAACTCATCTGATTCTGGTGAACAGAGAATTTTGCGTGAATGATACAGAATAACTAGGTTGAGCGATTTTCCTGCTAGAAACGGTCGAGGGTTCCATACGGGGCTTAACAAGATTAACAACATTGATAGATAACTATGTCAATGAGTGACCTTCCAAATCTAAAACAGAACTCTTGGTGATTCATTAGTTTTACAATAGTTTCCGTGTAGCTTATGTATTAATTTAAAAAAAAAAAAGTCGTTTTTTTCTGATGTGCTAGAAATTATTTTGAAGCAGCAATATTTAGAATAAGCTCTATGGGTGCTGTCTGTGTGGAGCATAAAGCTTGGATACTTCGTACCGACTTCCAGGTCACTGTACTTCAACGTTTACGGTTGTATCTCAAAATGCGACGCTTTTCTTTTTACTCTCCTGATTGTTTATTATCGTACCAACGCCATTTCTATACAATATTTTTTTCTCTTGAAGAATTGGTATAATGGATTTCAAATAACTCGCTTAGTTTCTGGATAGAGACACTGTACATGCTTACTTCAATTAAATACCTGCACATTTCTCCATCTAACGTAGCTAAATTTATTTGCTTGTTTCTGTTTCCAGGTAGGCCACTCAGAATTAAACTGCAATTAACAACAAGAACATTTACATTGAATAGTGTCTCTGCATTTATACTGACCGATACCAGTGTAATAACAGCTGAAATCGCTATTAGTGCGATCGTTAATCGCAACGAAATCAGTATACTGGGCAATTAAGACAGGCACTCTATACTTTGACAAAGTATTTCCTTAATTTCGCATTAACAGCTCCAGTTTGCGATTTTATCATATCTTACATATGAGGGAAATAGCACGAAAGAGCACCACGAAATCAATGTTCTTCCCTGGTGTCTGGTATCGTCATTCGTGCGTTAAATTGGATTGAGTTATGTGTGGTCTTGATCCGTCAGTAAAGCATATATAATTCTTCAAAAATGAGCTTCCCAATGCGTTTTGTTCGACTAAAGCGGCTACAACGCAGCATAACTGGCTATGCAGGGGTCACGGTGCCGTTACGCGCAGCCATGAGTACGGTAAAAATACCGAGGAAGCTCTATGAGAGCGCGTTGCAGGCCTGGAGTCAGGTAGTTGAAAACGCTAGCGATCAATGGCGAAGGGTAAGAAATGTTGGGTTTGTATGCTTTGTACCTGTTTTAAAGGATCCTCAAAGTATTGTAATAACTTTAAGCAAGTCTTCGATCACGCAAGTTAAATAAGTTTACAGAGAAGAAAGGTTAGTAGAAGCAAAAAAGTGGTATAAATGAATGGCCCTTATACGTTTTTTTTTACTTCTTTTAATGTCTGTGTTATTGGTGATACATGCAGATCTTGTCTAGAGATCAGGTTTCCAAATTATATATAGTACCCTATTGACAGAAAAAAGTATGCATATAGTTATTCGAGAAGTAGTTCGAAGCAATAGAAACTGCCTCACCGCCAACATAAAATCTAGAAAATTTAGTTTAACAATGAATAGCTCAATGCGTATCGGGGCCGTCTAGACATTCGTTTGTTTCTCATTTCGCGCTTATCGCCACACAATGTTCCTATTTTTTCTTGAAATTATTTTTTGGGCATATCGTATTTAGCTTACAATGGATATCGTCTTGAATGTAGCCTTCATAGGATTCTTGTATTACAGATATAGTATTGTATGCTAATGCTGACACGTGTGCCATTAGCAGTAATATTTACGTATAACCTTTGCTTGCTTTCATATTTGGACATGGTCAGAGCTTGGCTGTTATCAACGAATAGCTTCTTGCTACCATTTTGTATACAGATAGGTTCGTTAAGCTGTTACCTACTTAACTCAGGTAGGCGGAGAGTAACGGGAACTCAGGCAGACATTACACTGGCTCCTACTTTCTTGATATACCTACACATCGAATGGACGCTCGTCGTAGCTGGGCGAATCGGAGCGTCACATTACGGGACAAGTTCCTATCATCGTTCTCCGTCCGCTTAAGCCTGTCACCTCCGTCATTGGGATAAGCTGTGTAATAGAGCTTCTGCAGGCCACATTGTGGAACACTGAAATCCATGAGGATTCCATGACAAAAGCAAACTATATGAGGAAAATAAATAAAGGCGAAATTGAATTTGTTCAAATTTATGACAGAAACGCACCAGTCGGGTAGTTGGTAGGATTTTCTCAGAAAGATAGAATCAAAGTAGTGAAAAAGTGGAGATTTACAGGAAGATGTATTGCTTGAGATAAGTAAGCACCAGTGTGCGTACACTTTTTGTTTTTGCTTGTATCGTTTTGAGTGTCGTTTTCATTGCTGGAGTAAGTAAATCTTCAAAGACGAAATTGCTTTTGCAGTACGACAGCATTTATGTTTAGTCGCATGCTCAGTTAGCCAACGGGGATACTTGGCTTTTTCCGTATCACCACACACAAACATGTATATAGTGTTATAGGTTCAGCTGAAAGTTTATAGAAACAATTATAGTTATATACGAAGTATCGATTAAGTCACAGAAAATGTTTATTCTGTTTTTTCGCCTCTTCTAATCTATAGCCGACAGACCTGCTTTGATTTTAAAGATACCTCATGAAATTTTTCCACGCAGAACCGTAAAATAATACCGTAAACATAAATATTGTCTTAATTCGGTTACACTTTGGTAAGGTATTGTTGGTTACAAGCTGAAATTCTAGGCTATTAAGCCCCGATTTGGGTAACAGGACATGTACGTAACTAACAAGGAATTTGCATAAGATAGATTATTTAACAATCGGTTCTAAAAGAGTTTCATAGAGTTTGATTAGATAGATAAAATAAAATATACAGCCTTATATACGTTTGCTATTGCTATATTTTTAATTTTCAGTAGTACGCCCGACGTATCATGAGCAAGCCATTCTAAATAAGCTTGCACGATGAGGTTTTACGAGCCAGGTTTAATGAGCAGATGCTTCTCGATTTAAATGCCCAAATACGTATTGCTTAAGAAAATCAAGCCACGGGTCAAGCTTAATGTGGCTCAGCCTTTTTGAGAATCGACTCGGCCGTCAAGTGACGTCGTTTTTTTGCTTAGTATTTGCTTAGCAGAAAAAAAGGTGTGTTGTGGGTCTGTGTATGGGGTGTTCGTATGAGTAAATCGGCAAGCAAATCGAGAAACCCTATTCCGAGACAACAACGCCAAGGGCATCCGAGCCACATTTGCATCCGAATTTTGCTCGACTCTTCCGTTTTGGCTCGGAGATCTGGCCCTCCTGGAATGCGCTTATGTTGGAAAGGCATTTCATTTCTGGAGCCGGCCCTGGCCGAATCTTGCCTGCGGCTGCAACTTGCGGCCACGAGTAGCGGAATGCAGACGGTTTCTACTAAACTAGAAACATCAGCGGTTGGGGCTCGAGCGATTTCTTTCAGAAACGCGTTCCCTAGGCTCCAGTCTCTTGTTGTGTGCGTTGTTATAAGAAAGACGGCAGCGAACTCTAGGCAGACAAGGCCACTCGCGAAGGCGCTTGCTATCTAATGGCGTCTGGAACTGCATACAGATCTTGATTAGGCCAAGCGGCAGGCAGTTCCGGTAAGGGAACATAACCAACAGATGTGACCAAAATTAGAATAACTCAAGGCTTCAGTATACAGTTCCTCTTGGATAATGGAATTGTAAAAACGCGACCAAGAATGCGACAGTAACGATGCTATGGGTACAAGTGCTTAGACGGAATAGGAGATTGAATATAAGCCTTATTTTTTTATCGGATTTCGTATTAAAGTAGGTTAAACGTTTCGCGTTTTCGACTAGGTACTAAAACCATAACCTATCGGTTTAGACGGCTAACTCCAAGCAGGGAACGAGCCTAAGCCCTTTCGCTTTACTAAGTTTAATGAGCGAATACGTTTTTATTGCACCACAAAGTTCTACTCTAGTAAATTAGAAGAAAAATTCTGCTGATATTTTCCTGATCATGAACCTGCAGTGGTTATCCATTTAATTATTGAAAGTTAAGTTTACATCTTATTTTCTATTGATATATTTAGCTAAAATGGGATAAATAAACTATTTGGCGGTCGAGCGTTTCCGGATGGCTTAAACCGAAGTTACATAAGTAGCTCCGAATTTACCATTTATATATGTACTTATATCTAGCATAACTATATCCTATTGTAGAACTTGTCAAGATTTCGTGGTCACGTCATAATCTTTTTTAACCTGCTTGGAACATGTTGATTGCCTACTGCTAACCAACTTCTATCTATGGTAATTCAAACTACTAATATTATTTCCAGCGAGAATCGTGTGTTTACGCTCAATGCGATATTACTTATACAATCGCGGTGATAGTGTAATAGAAACGTAACGAAATTTAGTCTTCTAATGTTTCGCGTACATCTGCCGCTGTTTCCGCTGGATTTCTATAACAACCCTTTTCAACAACCGATTTCACATACCAGTAGCAGCGTATATATCTGATATGTGTCTGACGTACTCAGTCTAAATAACGTAGAATTACTTACGCGCTTAAATAAGCTAATAAGTGAAAAACGTCAGGTTGTTTCTTAACTTTTATACCGCACAATGTGTATGGAGATAAACCAGCTGCAAAAACCACATGGCTGAATACAATGTTATCTCGGCACATATTCTCGTATGGCTTTCTGGTCGCCTGGACGCCATCAGGGCACTGTCAACAAACGCCCAGAGGACAGACGCGTTGTAGATGAAGCCACTCAAGCGTTCAGACATGTTTGCCCCGTGCAAGAACCCGTTTTCAGTATAACGACTTTCCTACGCTGGTGAATGTGGCCGCACTTGCACCCACGCGTTAGATAATCTTTTCCGTAGTTCCGCGTTGGGCTTTTCCACCTCTTTCTCTGAATGTTAACTACTGCATGTGACATAGCTGGAGCAACCTGTTAAACATATCTAAATTGTTATGAACCTCATTGATCGTTGCTTGCGTAAAAGTTGGTTCTACACGAAAAAACTAATAACAAGGTTAGGGTCTATCGTAGTGGATGCGAGGCACGACAATTAATCAGCTATCGAATGTCTAGCAGAAATGTTTTTGTATGCCTATTACGTTGCACTATAATACGATGAAGCCTTAGTGCTGACTACTTGAGTGGACAAATTCTAAAGCTAGCTATACATCAACCAACCTGCGTCGTGCGTGTAGCCCTCTGCCTCATGTAACCGAGTTTCTACAGTTTCAAAGTTGACCTCAGTTATTGCAAAGTAAGGTAAAAGGGGTGTTCATATCAGTGCTTGACAAGTCGCAGCTACCCATAGGAGAAGCGTGTCAAGAAGTTAGTAGTTATGGAAGACTCGGTGCCCTCTAACAACCGCTCAGAATTTGGCAGGCAAAGCTTTGAGCCATCTTAGCAGTATAATAATAATCGCTACCTCTATATTTTATCGCGCGAAAACAAGTGATAGCATAGTTCAGCTTTAGTTGTGAATTTTTTTGTCTGTAAACACATACCTACTTTCTTTTTTGGTAAGGCATTCCGAAGGAGGAGGAGATAGGTTTGTTTATCAGTGCTCTATGAATGTGTTGACCAACCGCTGTCGTAGGTTAGGTCGTAACAAAATAGTACTGACTTTTATCTGCTCTTTATTTTTCTCCAATGAGCTTCTTCCCGCTTTTTTCTGATGGCGCAAATACTAAAAAGGTAATACTTTTTCAGAGCTTATTAAAAAAATCAGCTTTACAAAGAATACTTCTAACTTGCACGCCAGAAATAAAATTACCATATGGCAGTAACCAAAGCAATGATAGTTAGACACTGAACATTTTTTATGTTGCGTACTACTATATAACGAAATACGGTAGAAACTAATGTCTTATTTGGCACAACGCAACCGTAGCATCACGATACGGCGGTTTTACAGAGAGCGCCGAGCAAAATCTCCGATGACGCTTTTCTATTGATCAAAAAAATAATACGTTTTTCTAGCTCTCATTTGAATTGTTCGCGGGCGTTACCCTTCGACGATGCAACATATTTTTTGATTTTTAATGCCAAGGCTCATTTCGATCACCAGCAGTAACCTCGCCAATTTCATTCGTTCCCTTAAAAATTGCGTCTACTCAAAGCCCTGACATAGTATTTCGTGTAACAATGAGGTGATTTTAAAGGCAATTAGGTTTACGCGGCAAATTACGGATGCTGCTTGTGTCTCTTTTGATTTGCCTCTATGTGGAAAAAGCGTCGCCAGTGGAGCAATGCGCGCAAGTGAAGTGACAAGGAACGTTTCGAAAAATTGAAGTAAGACTGAAGCCTTTGTATTTATATTATTTTTTTGTGAAAATATTTCTCTAAAGTTGAATTCACTTATGATTAATAACTGCGAATAAGCGTTCCCCTTTCATTAACAAATCGATTCTTGCATCCTGTACCGGAATGGCTGTACATGAGCTTCTTAAACACGTTTCGAGAGCCCATTAAATCGACGGGTCAAAACGGGTTTTCGCGCAAACCTTCTAGACAGCCTAAAAGATAAGAAAAGGCAACACATATAGGTACTGATATGTGAAGTTGTCAGACAGATCCATGTTGCTGCCATACGCAGAAATCGTGTGAGAACAGCAGCAAAGGCAAAAAATGGATAGCCATTTGTTTTCCTAGAGAGTATGAAACGCTACTTCCTGGTGCTTACTAACGATAGTCTTGTTCAGCAACGTTTTATCGTCTAGCTTTATTATGACTTATAGTTAAGTATCGTACTCGTGCGCGGTGCCTTGCGCCGTATGGCCTTAGCTCGTCGGAATCGCCTATTTACGAATCGAGAACTGAAAATTACCACCGGGTTATCCCGGCGGTGAAGGCGTCGCTTGCCTGCTAGAAACGAAGCAGCTGAGGAATTGGCCAAGATGACCAAACGGAGCGGGACCGCCAACCGTCGTTCGGATAAATTAGGCCGAAGTCAAAGGCATCCTTGTGATCCGAAGCAACCTTGTAAGTTCGACTGGGCCACAAGTCTACACGCTTAAACAAGTAGGCTCATAAGATTATTCTTTCATATAACTGGGGTATTATTAGAAACTGAGCCACGAATTTTAGTCACCAAGGGCAAGCTGTATCCGTTGTCTTAACTAATGCATTATGGCAAGAGGCTCGTAGGATGTGTCTAGCGCGTTACTAGAGCAGAATGTGGCCTAACAATACGAGTAAAGATGATTTCCCATGAACTGCTTGAAGTCTGGCGACTTCTAAACCGGTTTCACTACCCTAACTCCACGATGTCTATCCTAAAAATGTCTTCCTTTTTTTTCTTCTATGGAAGCCGGCAGTGACGCTATATCTGGTGTTAGTGAATGATCCAATATAGGAAACCTCCAGCAAAGCAGATCTTAAGTTTATTTCCGCGTTCTTCGGCTTTAAAATGCTGTTGTGGCATCTGCGATATTCTTTCGTAGCAACATTTCAGCAAAACTTTATGAGATTGTGCGCGGAGCAGACACGTACGTAAGTCAGTATGCCTTGAGGAAAATCGAGGAGCTCTCATCGGAGATGGAAATTTCTCTAGGCAAATGTTCTAGCCATCGCAACATTATGATAGTTGGATTTCGTCAGATTCCTTAGCTGGCTGCGCATGTGCGAATGTTTCGCTTTAAGCAGTAAGTTAAAGCAGCTAAGTTACTTAGTCAGGAATATCTCAAACATTGCCAAGCGTTGCGGTGAGGTATCTCTAAGCGTATCAACTACGTCGTACAGAAATCGGATTTTTGAAAAACACACACAGATAGGCTAGACGCTCCAAATAAAATAGGGGAGAGAGATCTTTAATAATAAAAAAGAAAAAAGTATTAATAATATTGTTAGTTCTGGGTGCAAGAGGTGCCACTGAACTATAGAGTAATATTGTATTCAACATCTATGCCGTTAATAGAACGTGAACACAATATAAAGAATGCTGGGGTGTTGTAAAAATTGGTGCGGAAATTGATGATAACGGCAGATATACTGCGAGATATTGGAAGATCGTGACTTTCAAATATTACAAATCAAAACAACGGCCTAATTGATGCACAGCAGATCCGAGAAGACGCTTCAGATAAACTCGTAGAAATAAATATCAGGACCAAAATACAACTCGTAAAAATGTCTGATTGTATTGAACACAACGATTAAATCAGATAAAAATTTCCTTATCTTTTTTTTTTTTTGCTTTTTGACGAAAGGAAAAGATATGTGTGTTTCGCGTCTGTTTCTGTGAAAGATCTGGCCCAGCTGTGCGATGGAACGTTTATGCATATTTACTCGAGATGACTTGAATAACCATTACAGAAATCGTGTTTACCGAAAGGTTGATACGAACGAAGATATCGAGTTGTTTTTGCTGAAAGGTACGAGTGGTACTTGTTGTCGGTTGATTTTAGCACTAAGTCGCTGAAACAACGTAGAGCCTTTCGTCACCTGTTGCCGATGGCCATTTTGTGCACTTTGGGAAATGTAGTCGGTGTTGGCTTGCAATGTATTCATTGGATTGGCCGTTGGCTTGGAACAGTTGGTACAGCTGCTTATCGGGCTATTGACTTTCTGCCATACCGAAGAAGATTGCCTGTTTTAACAAAGTTGAGTTATCGAAGACGACCGCCGCTCGAATGTGAGTCGTTTCCTTCAATACACAACGACAGAACTATGCACTTCCATATATAATTTAGCCCATGACTCCTGGCTTTCGTACAACATACGGTTTCATGATCATACTGAATCTTTGCCAATTGAATTCACCATATGATGGGTGAGGCAAGTCTCGGGACAACTAGTCTTCATTTCGTAGCAGGAGATAATCTATTGCAATAAAAAGCCGCCCAGCATATTCACAGCGGGCATTTTCACACATATTCCTATAATATTACGTATCAGGCACGATATCGTCATGTTCTAGGGTTCTTGTAACATAGTATTAAATAATAAAGTAACTGATTTTGTTTTAGCGATTGCGTTTTAGACATTAGTATGTCTTTACTATAAGGCTTTTGTAAGAGCCATTCTTAAAATACGAGCTTTAGTTTAGTGACTAACACTATCCGCTATTATCTGCGTGTTTCTAACATAATTCATAGAATTTTACTATACAGTTATTTATAACGTAATGAGTTCTAACGTTATACGGGTATGTTCTTAAAGAAAAGTGCCGCGGTTTTTGTCGCGTTAATCCTGTACTTCGCTAGCCTTTTTGCGAAGCCGGCGTCGAATGTCGAGCCACTCTAAGGATAAATTTGTTTAGGGATGACTTAGGGTGTTTGACATTCGCTTACGCGTACGGTTTTTTTTTGGGTGTCTTATCACATTCACCGCTATTGTGTATCCATTCGCTCATATCATATAGTACACATCAAATCGAAGATTCGTGTTTGAGCTCAACGACAGCTTGTCAACATAGAAATTAGTTTACACCATGATGCCATCGTTTTTGCAGATGTACCACCGCCCCCCGGTAAGTTGCCTCCTGACTTTGTCGCGACTTCACATGATGATCATTCCCCTCCTCCAGGTCACGGGACCTGTGCTGCGGAGACGAACAATAATGCTTACCGGGAACCTCAGGTCTCTGCCCACATCGCAGCCGTCAAGGGCGGTCGCACACTTTCTCGTAGTTATCGTGGGCGGAATGAGTCAGATCCAATTTCGGGCGCTCAGCCCAACGACTCGTCAACGCGGGTTAACAATCTATCGGCAAGTAAAATGAATGCCGGTTTTTCAGGTGAAAGTTCTTCCCGAAAATATTCAGACCAAAACATTCTTGAAACAACCTCTACACCAGTGATTCGTCCCGTCGTTAACCCAATTAGAGTTCAGGGAGCTGCAGATGTAGTAAGGTTAACCCAACCAAGCGAAACGCGAAAAAGTCACCGAGGGGATAAACCGAAGCTGTTGCCGATCGCTCCGGTTAAACAGAGAACGACGATAGCCGGAGTTCGCCCATTCAATAATGCTCGTATGACAATTAAAGCCGCTGTGCGTATCACGGGTAAACCAATTGCTCGTACAGCGATGAAGAACGTCCTTGGACGGGTGACAGCCAGACCGCCCGTGATACGTAAGGACCACAGAAACACGTCTCCAACGTTCGGTATTAGTACCCCAAAAGGTTCAACGACACCAATCGAAGTGCGGTCTACAATTCCAGTAGACGTTCATGGTACAATGAACGCTCCGAGTTTTATGATCCACCGAGTCCTCACACACGAGTACTTCTTAACAGAATCAGGTCGGAAGTTTTTGATTTTCTTAGGGTAACGAACGCTTTAGTTTTTTTGCGCACGCGAATATACCTAGTGCAAAAAATCGACGGATGATTGACTGTAGCCAGTGTGCACGCCCAAGTCAGTGTATGTAAAGATTACTTAATTTTAATAGTTTCACTATTCAGCAAATATAATACAACAAAAAAGTTTTCGATCGTTACCTTGAGTCAGATTCGTTTGAATTGCCCAAGCAAAAATAGATATGTAGAAAAAAATTTGATAGTCAAGCCGTCAGGAGCAATAGATAATTCCATTATTCAATTATACTTAACTTAAAAGGTTGGGTAGACAGTGTGATACGAAAACTTGATGCCCACCGAACGCTACAGCTATCGAACCCCAAAAGCGGCGGTCATTTGTGAAAATCGAAATTCATTATAGGACTTGTCCCTACACCGCAGTATAAATAGAAGCCTCAAGATGTGCTTCAAGGCTTAACGTAACATTTGACAGCAGGTCTTTTGACCTCGATGAGCTAAACCACGGTTGTAGCGACAGTAAATATTTAGAACACTGTGGTACATAGTGCACGATTCATCGCCAGCTTCATTTGTTCCACGTCTCCTCATAATACGAGAGAACCCTTGTCTGAGAAGGGCTAGTAAGTGTTGCCTTGGCTCCATACAATTTTGTTTCCTTGATGAATTGTGAACATGGATAGGGATCGTAATTGTACATGTTGCTTGTTGAGCATTGAGTTGATTTTGGCATAGAGAAGTACTTCGGTGAGTGACAACAACGAATTATTTTGCATGACGATTTGGAGACAGCGTGTACGATAGAAGACGAGCACGGTGTTGCTCATAAAGTGAACAAGAAGGCTGTATTTACCAAGACCCGTAAAGATGCCGACCGAATCGTGGCCAAAGCAGAATACCTACTTGAGTGTTTCGTTAAACAGGAACGGAAAATTAAACCTAGTCGAACGCCAAGGGAGCACTTCACTATGGAACAAACATGTCGGACAGCCTTTGAGCTTTTTTTTCGAGTACGTAAGTCCAGACTCGGCTGCGATGACATTCGTGAAAGCCTCGAAAATTTGGCGTTTCTCTTCGACTACCTCATCGTGGATTCGCCAACAGTGGCCGGGGCAAGTCTTAAACTTCATTTATTTTTAGCAGAGAGTTGAGTGTGCTAATTAACGATTAGAAAACAAACAAGTGTTATTTAGTCAGCCTTACAGATTTGTAATAAACGTAAATTACTTAAAGATAAGTACTACAGTAGAACGCATTTCTGGTGCAAGCGTAAACATAAGTGGGTACGCAGCAGCGATAAAAATGAAACGTACCTCCTATTTCGTTATACCGGCAAGCAGTTTAATGACAGCAGATTTGTTTAATTAACCCGCGTCTTCTAGTACTTAGCCAGTTTGCTACGACGACTTATAATGATCATGGAGGAGATAGCACCATTACTCGAGAAAGGTTCTGGAATAGCACCAACAGACTGGACCGCTCTCCGAATGCATTACAAAACCGAAGAGGATAACCTTCGCGAACGACTGGAGCCGCCTATCGCGATTCCACCGATGGGACTGATTTCTGGCGATGTCATACTCGGTGCCGGTGGTTTCGGCGCTGTCTACAAGGCGCGATTTGCCGGATCGATTCGATGCTCCGTCAAATTAGTTGACGACAACATGTTTAAATGGGAACAGCATGCCTGTGTTGACAAAGTTGTCGGTTCGCTGATCAATCATCCGCTATTAGTGAAGTACCACGCGTGTTTCACTGCACAGGGAGCCTACATCACGATCATGGAATATATTAGAGGTGTTGATCTTGACCGCGTGGTACACACAGCAAAAGGACTGCCCATGCGTGTACTTCGCCCAGTTGTTGCGCAGCTTGGAATCGCGACACAATATCTTCATTTTAAAGGCTTTATACATCGTGACATTAAGGTTGGTCATGTCACGTCATTCCTATGCAAAGACTATTTCAAACAAACTACTTTTAGAACGCTCCCAATAAGTATAATGATAAAAGCATAAAAAAACACCATAACAAATTTGGGCCTTTCTCTATGAGCATGGTGTCATTTACTTACTGCAAATAACCAATATACAGATTTCTTAATCTGTCTGTGTCTCTCACTCATATTTGTTTCATTGTTTTATTTATCCTTCCTCCTCGACAGCCTTCAAATTTGATAATCATGCCCGGTTGCAGACTGAAAATGATCGACTTCGACACCGTTAAGATCTGTATTGGGATGTTCTCAAAGAAGCGGCTAAAGTGTTTTTTTCGTAGGACTTACACAGAGTTCAACGATCGCGAGACGGCCGGTACGCCCAACTTTTTCCCGCCGGAGTTCATCAAGTGCGCTGCCTATGGTCGATCAGTAGATTGGTAAGCTGTGCCCTTTACAACAAGGGCGCAATTAGGGTAACTGATCTCCGTCAAGTTTTGCGATAACACCTAGGTGAAGAAATATAGAACAATAGCTTTTTCTTTTTGATGTAGGGACTTATTTTGTGCGAGCTTGTGATTTGTTGAATGCTACAATTTGACTGATTTACAGGTGGGCCATTGGCGTAACAGCATACGAGATGTGCTTCGGAAAAACGCCTTTCCGAGGGGAAAATGACGAAGAGCTCGAAGCAGCTATTCAGGCTGTGAACTACAAGTTTCCAGTAAAAGGTCCGAGAGGAAAATACTATCTTGAATTCAAGGACCTCGTGGCACGCCTCATAAAAAAACGGGCTTCAGGTTCGTTATTTTAGTTTAAGCGAGAGACATGTTAGAGCATATTACAGGCTCTGGCTCTGGTAGAACGTAGAAATGCGACAATATTCAAAAAGTTGACTGAAAATAATTGAGCTGATCGAGTCCTTCAAGGAACTAAGTAACACTATTGACGGCTTCTCTGGTTAGCTGGTTTCAGAAGTTAGATTTTAGGTAATATCGCGTGGGGTTGGCGCCAATCTTTTAAGTCTTATTTGGGATTTGACAGATATTGAAACGTCTGACTGGGATAGAGCATTAAGCCTAATTTGCTTTTATTTACAATTATTACAATAAAGGCACAAATGCTGCCCAACCCCTTAAGAAGAAATGTGATGTTTAGAATCCGGATGCGATATCGGGAGCAGAGCATCGTATGGAACGTATGCATAACATACGAAAGATATGATAGAAATGTTAAGACCGACACACAAGTAGCCATGAATGATATCGCTAAGGGCCATTTATTTATTTAAAGCTATTTAAACCATCTGAAGAAAACATGATTGCAAAAAGTTTGATGTTTGAGCACCACACGACCTGGTGCGACTCGAAATTTATTCAATCGTATCTGTGAAACTCCTTTAAAAGGGAAAAAAAAAGTCAAATTTTCAATTGATGGAAAACGATTAAATGCAAAGAAAACTTCAGGATGTATAGACAAAACCTAGATCGACGGTAAAAGAGGTGACGCTGTTTTGTTTCTTTTTAAATTAAAAAAAAAAAAATTGTGAGATGCAGCTATCCAACAAAGATTTTTTCAGATCCCAGTTGCAACTAACTAACACGATTATAAATCTGTTAAACATAGTCGATAAAAACTAGTGAATAGAACGAGCGTCGTCCTCTACCATGACATTGCTAGACCATACGTTTTAGTAAAAACTGGGAAATATTGTATAGGACGTTCACTCTACAGCCCGAATGTTATTATCAGGCTCTCACCTGCTTCGGTTTTTGCGAAACTCTAGTGACGGTTACGGTTGTTTACTTTTAACGAAGAGATGCAAAGACATCTGTTACACCAAAGGTTTCATAGCAGCAGGATTAAGATGTTACCAGAAAGACAACAGATATAATCTGTCGAATCAAAATATGCGCCCTATTTTTGTCATTATTTTCGTCGTTAAGTGTAACCAAAAAAAAGTGGAAGCCTGTAGGTAGAACAGCATGAGCGGTGCGTTCCGTGAAAGCTCGGAGAGACTCTTACAGACACCTTGAAACTGTGTAAAAGGCATTGAAGATAATAATAAAGACTGAGTTTCTCACAAACGGGGAGTCCACAACAGATGCAGACATCTATAAATGTACAGTCCATAATTTTATCAGTCAAACCCATCTGAAGGGCAGTGTTCATAAATAAGGAGCTTTCGTAACCGTAGCAACTCTTCTTCCTCCGTTTGAAGTCCTATGTTGTAGTTACATACCTCATGGTCGATCTTCAAGCTTAGAACATCTGCAGAACGCTGAAAGCCTCCTTGCCTAGTGTTCTCATTGATCTCCGACGTTCTTCGATACCCGCACAGTTACTCGCTATAATTAACGTTATTGTTCTTCACCAGTGAACATTTCCTGCTCATCATTTTGCTAACTTGCTCGTAAAAGAGGGTGCGGAAAGACAAAATGTTTCTCTAATTTGTTGTGATATAGCGATCCTTCGAGTGACTTATCAGTATGCAACGAAGATAGGAAAAATGTGAATCTTACGTCCTAGATGAGCACAGATCTATGCAGGGTTTTGATACATGCGCGGCAATATTTAGAACGATATGCGTGCGCAATTACAGAGCGGTTATGTTCGCGTCGATATAGCGATTTCCTAGCTCACCCATTCTTCGAAGGCTTGGATCTAAATGCGTTGGAAGATGGTTCACACTTCATCGAGTACGACGGTGTCACAAGCCTGATGCAGCCGAGCAGCGAAAATCCTGATGATTTCTCTCCAAAAATTTCAGATGAACTGCAGGCCACAAGAGCCGAATATCTTGAACCGGAAAAAACAAAGGTGAGTCGTTAAAGCTCCAGGTACTGGAAATACTAAAACTAGTTGGTTTGCTTGATAGACCGTTTGCCAGTTGTCACATGACATTTTATCGTCATTCGCTCCCACTAGTATGAATCAATTTTAGAAAACTGCAATCCTCAAAATAGAAGCAGATTGTTTGTGAGAAGCGTTCGTCGCCTAAATGAAGACCTGTAACATTCTTTTTTTTTTTTTTTTTTTTGTTTTATGAAAAGGATGCCGTGGACCATTGTCCACTGTATACGTTTGTGTCAACGACCTTCCAGAATGCGGTGAGAAAGGCAATGCGTGACGAACCAGTGAGTCATGAAGACGCTCAAGAGCCACCAGAAATTGGCGTCGTCAATCCGCCTCTGCAAGACGCCAGATCGTACAAATTTAACGCATACATGAAATAATGGTCGTGTTTTATGGTGGCTGTATTCCGTAATAGTGTGATAATTTTGATCTTTTAAAATAAGCGATAGATAGATAAGTTAACTAGAAGAATGGACGGACGTATTACCAAACACGCAAATGTAAATGACAATCGGAAATGTTTGCCGTAGATTTCAAACCAGACGAAACAAGGAACATTTACAACAAAAGATTACACCTAGGGTTGATGCGGTGATCGTGGTTGTCCCGAATCAAGCTTCCTGTCAATCCTGTGATTATGAATAAACTAATTTTTCCATTGGGTATACACATTATGTGAATATGAAATAAATGAGGTTTCGTTTTTATCTAAAAATTCTTATTTCTCTTATAGAGAATTGATAGAATCAAAGAATGATCTGGTGGAGCATTCTTCCAAAAAGGTAAAATATCACTGATTTACGAGTCTGCATTTACTTGCTGCATGCACTCACAGTACTTTTTTTTATGATGAGGGAACGCTTTCATTACCGATTACAATTTTTGTTAGTTTTCTGTTCGTTTACATTACTGAACAAGTGTATTTGTCTCGGTTAACTATCTAATA